AACAAGAAAATCGTATCAGCAGAAACGTGCGGTCCTCTGAAGACATTTTAATGAATCATTCTGTATTTAAACTGAATATATTTTCTAATACATATTTTAAACAGACGAACGATTTAGATATGAAATGTTATCACTTTGTCGTCAAAGAAGCGACGGATACTGAACTCGGTTTATTTAAAGACAAATACAGAATTAAAATTTGGTTAGCCAATATATATATATATATATATATATATATATATATATATATATATATATATACACACACACACACACACACACACACACACACAGGGTAGCAATAAAGTCACTATACAGTTACTTATAATAACAATTAAGATAACGCAATTAATCAACAGTTCAGAAATTTATTATTAAAATGGTTCTGGTTAATTCTGGTTAATAACAATAAAATGCTATGGTAAATAATAGTAAATTAATTACCGATATTGTTCGAACTGCAAGCCACCTGCTTCAATGCTTTGCTTTTTATTGCCGTGATATATATATATATATATATATATATATATATATATATATATATATATATATAAATCCGACAGTATGAAAGAAAATATATACGGAAAAACAAAACAAAATCTTATATACAATTATGCTGCTTTAATATTAATACAAACGTCTGATTATTTCGGTCTAATAAACCATCTTCAGGACATATTTATATTTATGAATATGTCAATACAAGATGGTTTATTAGATCGTCTTTGATGTTGACATATTAACATTAAACAGCATAATTGTATATAAGGATTTTTGTTTTTGTTTTTTCCATATATATTTTTTCTTCATATATATATATATATATATATATATATATATATGGTGCAACAGCAAAATCATACAAATGTTAGATTAAGCTTTGAACCGTTGTATCTTAGAAATGATTAAAGATATCTTACTGGAATACTCCGAGGTTTTTATAACCCTATTGGACTCTACTTTGAAAAATAAGTATGTATTTATCTCTAAGTTGAAATGCAAGATCCTTCTTGCTGTTGTGACCTCCTGATCCAGTTTTTCTCTCTACTGTTCACTCTTTTTAAACTTATTCACTGTTCTCTTGGATGGTTTTCTCAAGGGTTTTTCAGTGATTCTTACAACAAATGGTATCAAGATGGTTAAACGTCTTATCTTTTTCTGGAAAAAACAAACTCAATTAGTTTAGTGGTATTTTAGATATTAAACATTTTGTGGGATGGACAATTATCCCATGATGTTACATGATTTGGACAATTTTGTTGTTACACTCGGAATATATATATATATATATATATATATATATATATATATATATATATATATATATATATATATATATATATATATATTCTGTTTATACATTATTTTTATAGATACAAATATTTAAGTAAATGTTCTGTTTATAATAAACAGCATTAACTACATTTACCGGGCTGAATGTCGGAGAAACTTCATAGAAAATATGTGTCTTCCGACAGGAATCGAACCTGTACGTGTAGGATACAGGTTCGATTCCTGTCGGAAGACACATATACTATTTAGCTACGGAGGAAGCGTATGGTTAGCAAAGTCAAATTACCGTTTTTAAACAACAAATTTCCCATGATTTTTCTCGAACGCTCAAATCTGCTCGAAGTGTATCTTAACATTACCAAATGACATCACATATTGTGAAATGGACTAAGTCCGACTATTATTTTAATATATTTTCTGTTTAAACGTTATTGTTATAGTTGCTTATATTTAAGTAAATGCTCTGTTTATAATAAACAGTATTAACAACATTTACCGGTCTGAATATCATGAGAAATTTGTTGTTTAAAAAAAGTAAATTGATTTTGCTAACCAGGCATATCTTGTGCAAGGTTTTTATTTTCACTATTAGCCCATATGTTGATTTGTGATGACCTGGAAACTCACGAAGGCAAAACGCGTTGTCATTAAAAAGCTTTTCACCATTTTTGTTCGCATTTTATATTCTACTAACACACATAGCATTTTGTTGTTTGGTTAATCTGACACTGACTCTGATAACAGTGACTTTATTCCAGGGATGGACTTATGATGGGTGGCCGCTTGGGAATAGCAAGTGCTGTAAGGTTGGATGTGCGGGTGGTGTAGGACAACGATACGGAATGAGAAATCGAAGTGCTGAGTTTAAATGTCAGTCGAGTTCGTCACATTCATTTTCACGTAAATACCCTTGAGAAAGGTATGAATCCACCTCGTCTCCCTCCAGCTATGGGTTAAATAGCAAGACAGACTGGGTCTTATATCTTTGGTTGGCAACCAGTCTACCGTAGGAAGTGCCTACTGTGGCAATTCATCTGCTAAGTCAATCATGAATCGAAAAGAGACATGATCGCCCAAGCATGCATCATGCATAACATCTAAAGAAGGGTACACGGTAGCAAGAGAGAGAAAGAGAGAGAGAGAGAGAGAGAGAGAGAGAGAGAGAGAGAGAGAGTTGTGATTATAAAATACAAAAGAGAGGTGACGGGGACAAAAAATAGTGACATTTGTTAAAGGTCAGTGAAAAACTGAAAGAAAATACCTAAAGATGTCATTCGTTTATCATAGCTGAAGATAGAAAAGACAAGAAAAAAAAAAAAAAAAGAAAAAGAAAAAGGAAAAAAGAGATAAGAAAAGAGAAATAAAAGGTAAGTGATAAAAACATAAAACATAGAGAATAGTTGCGCGACTGTTACGATTTTACTCGTACACATTTGTACTGGGCGCGGGAAGACTTTTATTTTCACATGTTACGCTGTTGAATCAGCGTCGTCCTACTTGATCGGTGAAATGTTAAAATAAAAATTAACAAGTTGTCTTATATATTTACCATTCCGTAGAATTCTCATCCAATCCTAAATCAGTCATATGAAAACTTGCAGACTAAATCTTGTTTTATAAATTCGTTTAAAGCTAAATTTTACGTGTTCCCATCTTGCAGCAGTCGAACAAAAGAGCATATGTCGTACCGCTAACATTGTATTTACTCTAGGGATAAACTAGAATAAAACACAATTTCGGCATTAAATGACCCATAAGGAGTTGACATGACGTTAAACAAATCAATCAATCAAAACTTGCTACACATAGCTTCGCTTGCAGTAAATTATGTCCACACAAATATGCATATGCACAAAAACTGAGCATCATCTACCATGTATTAAATTGTGAAAGCAGAATAATCTATCATATTTTTATAAATGACATGCATTAAATACTCCATAGCTGATATACATTAAATACTCCATAGTTGATATACATTAAATACTCCATAGTTGATATACATTAAATACTCCATAGATGATATACATTAAATACTCCATAGTTGATATACATTAAATACTCCATAGATGATATACATTAAATACTCCATAGATGATATACATTAAATACTCCATAGCTGATATACATTAAATACTCCATAGTTAATATGCAGTCTGATGAACTAACGGATGAAACGCGTCACAAAAACGTTTTTTTAACGTCATACTATTTTCTCAATACTGTTTCTTCATAAATAAAATTATATATGATTATGTCATATCATACAGTCAACATGAAAGAATTTTAATGATATTAATCCATATAATATCATACAATTTCTTAAATCGAGCGCTATTCCAAACTATAACTTCAACAAAACTACAACATAAACACACATATCACCGCTTGTAGTAAATTATGTCCACACAAACATGTACATGCACAAAAGCTGAGTATCATCTACCATGTATTCAATTGTGAAAGCAGAATAACATATATCATATTTTTATTACTTCAAAACTTCCAAGAAAATGAACTTTTAGCATTAAATGACCCATAAGGAGTTGACATGTCGTTAAACAAACAAATCAATCAATACTTGTTACGTGTAGATTTTCACCTGCTCATAGACCGACAGGTGTGGAGGAGAGACGTCAAGTTAAAAAAGAAAAAAAGAATTTCAGTCAAAGAAGATCAGTGGTCCGTTTCCAATGACTTTTCGCTTTAGATGGAGATCAACCTTTCTCATGGTCTGCTAGTAAAAGACGACCGAAACAAGCATCGCAGAAAATAGGAACGTCTTCGCAACGATTAAATATCAAAACCGTCGACTGATAACGATTGGATAAAAAATAATAAAAATATCGATTACATGTAAGAACCAACGAAAATTGAACCAATGAAAAACAACAGCAATTCACCCTCTATTCATATTAGCTTATTTGATGTCATATAAAACCTATGAACATATAAGTCCTCCCTCGTTTCAGTAGGGAAATATTTAAAATAAATTTAGGTATTTACGGACAAGCATTTAATGTCCTTGAAATATGGAGATATACTATGAAAGAAACCCAAAACAGATAAAACATTAATGGAGGTGAATAGGAAATAATTTCTTTTTAAATAACGCTGCAGTAATTTGCAGTGACAGCAGCACGGTGGAGTAAAGGATAGCGTCTCGTCTTGAAGAATCAGAGAGTAAAAGGGAGTTTGATATTCATCGAGTGTCTCTTGTATATAATAAGCCTTGTGTCAGACAGATAAAGACTCCGAATGAGAAATCGGTGAGTGGTGTTCGAATTCCAGTCGGGTTCGTTACATTCACTTATATGCAAATACCCTTGGGAAAGATATGGATCTATTTCTCCTACCCACCAGCTATAGGTAAATAACTAAACCAACTTGATCCAATAATCTTGGGTGGTAACCGGTCTAGAAGAATATCATTTTTTTTTTATTGATTTTTATTTTTTATGGCTTACCAACAGGTTATTTAAAGCCAGAAAATACTTATCTTTAGATTGTAATCATTTTTTGGAGTTAATAAAGATTTACTGATACAAGTCCCACTAATTAGCCTATAGTTGAGTCGGCGTGCATTCATATCTCTCTCAAAGGTATTTTCGCGTAAGCGAATATAAAGTAATTCGACTAGTATTAGAACCCCATCCTCCGATTTCTAATTACGAGCCGTTATTCACTACACCCCGCGGACATGCAAGCTTACAGCATCTGTTATTCCCAAGCAGTCACCCATATCGACACTGACCAGGCTCGACATTGCTTAACTTTGGTGATCTTGTGAGAATCGGAGTTTCAAAACGATATGGCCGTAAGCCGGCCTAGGGTAAGGTCAACTCTGAATCTGAGTGAACGAGTGGTCGGCGACTAAACCGGTTAGCACCAGACCCTGCTAAGGAGGGTAAGTGCAATCCCACCAGCCAAAAAAAAAAAAAAAAAGGAAAAAAGAAGAGCTGTTAGGGGTCGGATGAACTCCTCAGAGGCTATGGGTTAAATAATCGCCTCACACACCAAGCGTGAGTACGGCTACATCCCTGAAGATATATCAGTGAGGGGTTTCACTAACACGAGTGAATAGGTCCTGGATTTGGATTTGGAATGTGCGTTATAAACTCTCCATCTCCAAAATTCTGGCAGCAGTTGACCAGGTGATAACAACAACAAAGATCAGGACATTAGTCCAAATGTAAATAATAACAACTCCTCATCCATAAAAAATTCAGGCAGAAGGTAATCAGATGATAATAACAGCAGAGACGAGGACATTAGACAAAATCTAAATGATGATAACTTCTCATCCCAAATTTCTGACTGAGGGTGACAAAGTGATAATAACAACAAAAATGAGGACATAAGTAAAAAAATAAACAGGTTCACTTATCCTCCGATTGACACTCTACGACTAAGTGTAGAGGTTTATCCCTTGATCCCTGTTTCGGATTGGGTTTCCGGTTCTTTCTAAGCTTTTTTTTTTTTCATTCTTTTTTGTTCCCAGTAACCTCTTGCGTCTTAATGGCATTATCGCCTTGCTTGGGTCGAATTGATTAAAATGAAGTTCAAATATAAATAATAACTTCTCACCCAAAAATTCAAGCAGGAGTTGATCAGGTGATAATAACAACAAAGATGAGGACATTAGTTCAAATGTAAATAATGTACATAATGATAACTCGTCATCCAAGAAATTCAGACAGAAATTAGTTACTCAATTGCTTGTTGCTTGATAAATTTACTTAGTCTGTACAAATTTACAATAGTAGAGCGCTCTCAGTATATTAGGCACATTAGGTTATCTCTACGCTGTTCACCTCCTCCCTGTCCAATACGTCATCATAAGGTAATTACACAAGATTACATTAGATTATACAGAGGATTGCAGTATAGAACTCCTTTTATAAGAATTTTATCACCCTGGCCGATTTTAACAAGCGTTCCTCAAACTTTTTACCCTTGCGTAAACCTTAAAATAAACTACCCCTGCGCAAAAACAAAATTATATACCATATCTTTCTGTAATGTTTTATGTAATGTCAATCTTTATCAAGTGTCTTTCTTCTTCCTCTTATTCTATTGTTCTCACTCCTTAATAATGTTTCTTTCTTTTTTTTCTTATTCTTTTACACTCAGTAACCCCTTGTGTCTTAGTGGTTTTACCATATCTTTCTCATTTTATTTTCATCGTAGTACACGTGGTAAATATCATAGGATATATTTTTGAATAACTGGTTTAAGGAAAAATTAATACTTCTTTTTCGAATTTTTACGGTAATACTAAATAAAATTCATACTGTTCGTTTATAATACTTCATCAAGGAGTTTTCATTCACACAAAAAAAATGCTAAACTCAAACGTAAAAACTAAACATAAGTAACGAATATCACACGCCTATAATATAAATGTAAACAGAATATTACAATAACCAAGAATATATTGTATGTTTTTAGTAATATTAGGTATATGTAATTAAATAAAATGTCAAAAGTACATTAGCTTATCTCACCTGTTCTCGCAGAACACTTGGGGAATTTTTGCGGAACCTTAGGGTTTCGGGGAATCCCGGTTGAGAAACGCTGCCCTAGACAATAACCTAATTTACCAAATGACTGCTCTCAATGGACACGTAAGGATCTAATTCCTGACACATGTCCGATCGTCACATGGGTAGCTAATATTTTTGGTTAGTGCCAGACGAAGTTTAGGTGAGGAAATCTTGACATAGACATCTGTTGTGCCCGTATGCCTGTATTTGCTCACTGAGGCTTACTAATTCTCAAGAAAAAATCACTCCTCTTATTCCAACATATTTACCTGTTTATTTTCATCTAAATATAGTAAATTGTAAACTAATCCTACTCCTCCACCCCACAGACTTTCCACCAACAGTTTATTTCCAGTCTTTTATCTTATTAGATCTGGGAAAAAATTCAATTACCCCGATTTTTCAGCACCCACTTCTATTCCAATCGGAAAGTAGATATTTTTTTCATTGACGCTTTTTACTATTTCTGGTCGCTTCACACTTTGACTCACTCAATAAATCTGCACTTCTTTCATGCGTAAAGAAAGAAAGAAAGAAAGAAAGAAAGAAAGAAAGAAAGAAAGAAAGAAAGAAAGAAAGAAAGAAAGAAAGAAAGAAAGAAAGAAAGAAAGAAAGAAATGAAAGAAAAATGACAAAAAGAAAGAAAGAAAGAAAGAAAGTAAGATGGAAAGAAAGAAAGAAAGAAAGTAAGATGGAAAGAAAGAAAGAAAGAAAGAAAGAAAGAAAGAAAGATGGAAAGAAAGAAAGAAAGAAAGAAAGATGGAAAGAAAGAAAGAAAGAAAGAAAGAAAGATGGAAAGAAAGAAAGAAAGAAAGAAAGAAAGAAAGTAAGATGGAAAGAAAGAAAGAAAGTAAGATGGAAAGAAAGAATGAAAGAAAGAATGACAGAAATAAATAAATTAATTAAGGAAGAAAGAAAGAAAGAAAGAATGAAAGAAAGAATGAAAGAAAGAAACAAAGGAAAAATAAAGAAAGCAAGTAAGAAAGAAAGAAATTAAGAAAGAAAGAAAAAAATGAAAGTAAGAAATTAATTACAAAAGAAAGAATTTAATTAAGAAAGAAAGAAAGTAAGAAAGAAATTAAGAAATAAATAAATAAAGAACGAAAATTGATACGCATTAGAATTTTATTTAAGTAATATGGTCTGTTTCCAGAATAGCGAAACCATATTAACGTACCGATTCTAAAACTCAAGAATCGTATTAACGTATGGATTATCGAATAACATGCCAATATTTATCAAAGAAAATCTTTCATATTTTTCTCCCGTAATCTGACAGGCCTCTCAGATTTATCGTTATTTGTAATCGGAATTTCTAAAAAGCTGTTAGCGCTGTCTGGTGGTCAAACAGTATATCTGTATTGCATTGGTGATGTAAACTTTACAAACACTTGAAAGTACTGGTTGTTAGATCATCTCAAAAATTCTTCTTTGTTTTGAATGCCTGCAACATGTTTGTTCCAAAGACATTTCCATGACATTTCATTCGAATATTTTTATGGTTACATTTTTTTTCTTAATAAAAGTGTAAGCTTTTGGTTAAATATATTCATATTTGACCTGTAAATATTTATTCGATCAAGTCTCCTCTATCAGAAGGTCATAGCATCCAGTAAAGACAGAACTCAGGAGTTCTGCACTCATTTTGCAAGACTGACAATTTAACTACCGATTTTCAACAATTAATAATAACTAAAGCTATATCTAAATGTCTATCGGATTGTAAATAGGTTTATTATAGACTACATTACACATTAGGGAAAAGGGTTTACCAGTAACCATAAATTGAGGCAAGCATTTTTTTTTAATCATTTCACCTCAAGCAAGGCCAGAACTCATGAGCTACAGCTTGCAAGACTGACGATATTCTGTTTACATTTATATTATAGATATTCGTTACTTATGTTTATTTTTTACGTTTGAGTTTAGCATTTTTTTTGTGTGAATGAAAACTCCTTGATGACGTATTATAAACGAGCAGTATGAATTTTATTTAGCATTACCGAAAAAATTCGGCAAAAAGCATTAATCTTTCCTTAAACCAGTTTTTCAAAAATATATCCTATGATATTTACCACGTGTACTACGATGAAAATAAAATGAGAAAGATATGGTAAAACCACTAAGACACAAGGGGTTACTGAGTGTAAAAGAATAAGAAAAAAAAGAAAAAAGAAACCTTATTAAGGAGCGAGAACAATAGAATAAGAGGAATAAGAAAGACACTTGATAAAGATTGACATTACATAAAAATTTTTGAAGATCAAAGTTGGCCGGAAAGTGAGAAGCCGGAAGAGTGTTCGACAAGCGAGAAGTGAGAGATAAGAAACTCTTAGCATAGAAGTTACGGTTACATCTTGTTAGCTCAACCGTAAATTGATGAGGCCTCACCATCAGTGTAATATTGCGCTTAAATTGATAAAGTCTCGGTACCATAGTGAAGAGCTCACCCGAACAATTACCATGAAATTATTTATAGAAAGGCACAGGGAATCTATATTACGACGGTAAGGAAGTAACTTAAACCGAGATGCCAGGTCAGGACCAATAATATTACTGATACTTCTAAGGATTTATCAATAATCTCTAAATACTTAGCCAGAGCAACAGACCAGATGTGGCAGCGATATTCTAAGTGTGGACGAATGGCATTAGTAAGAAAGTAGACTGTTATATTTTTTAAAAAATATTGTTTTACTATAGTTATCTTACGAGTGAAATTCATTATGAATAGCTTTATGAATAGCTTTATTTGAATTGTAAATAATTTTACTCTAGAAATGAAATTCAAAGGAACAAAGAATTTCTCTGACAGAAATAAAGTAAAGCATTACTGAGAGAATAGGCTTGTTATATATCTTATAATTTAGTACGTTCCATAACATTACAGGATATTAGAGAGACTTTTATTATCTAATATATAAATGTTCATCGCATTGTAAATGTTTTTACTATAGGAAAATATTAAACATCAGGCAATAGTGATATCTATTTTACTATAGTTATCGTACTAGTGAAATTCATTGTAAATAACTTTACTATAGATTTTGAATTGTAAATAATTTTACTATAGAAATACATTGAAAATCACATAGATAGAAAATGATACTAGTTAGGAATTAAGTCAGCGATTATTGAGAGAACAAGATTGTCATATACTTAAATCTTTAATATATTTCTATAACAGTAATGAACATTAGAAATTGTTTTAAGGAGTCTTTTATTATCAAATATGTAAAGTTTCATCTCATTGTAAATGATTTTATTATAGTTAT